TCTATCTCGCCATACGCGGGGGAAAGATCACAGCCACCTCTCAAGCAAAAGCATGCACTACACTTACGGAGATAATGACCCTGTTAGTTGGCGTGCCCGAAATCACTAACAATCAATCAATCACTTCGCATCATGCCAATTCGAGTGCTGCAATAATGCGAATCCGAAAGTCTCTCATCAATGCGTCGAATTCCGGAACCCGCACTAATTTTTGCGCAGCGATATATTTGCAGCAATGGGAACGAATATCTGCCGAACGAACGAGATTGCCATTCGGGTTCTTCCGAACATTCCCCGCTTTACGATGCGCTAATAAAAAAAATTCTGACTGGCTCTCTCATATTGGAAATCCCCCGCAGCTTGCAATACGTGACTTCAATCAACATACCGCTCCACTCGTCCTTATTTTCATATTAGTATTTTTTCCCCGCATTGAATAATCTCTGTGCGCACATTATAAACAGCGTTTTGCGGCGTTTATAAATAACACCGCGGCACCTGCTCTCCTGGATCTACCGCAGAGAGTTACATTTAGCGCAAAACAATGCAGCTGTTTTTCATTACAAACGAGAACAAATGAGGCTTCAAGCAGAGAAACAAAAGCTGTGGCGCATAGTAAACAACTCGTTTGACAAAGTAATAAACGTCCACCGGTTGTTTTACCGGTAGATCGGGACAGAGCCAGAAGTATTGCGTTCTGTGACGTCGGTTGACGCGTGGTATGAGTCAAATAGACTGCCGAGGGCCTCACAAGGGATCTAAAGAAGACTAATATACTTGTGTACATATTTGAATGAGTTGAAATGTTGGTTTGCTAGAGACCAGAACGTGATAAATCAATATCCGCATTCATTAGTATCCTAGAATTGGCGGGTGTTTTGTGCGTTTTATCTTACATATAATGAAGAGTCATCACTTTCAGAGTTCCCGCTTTTCTTTGAATTTCCTTCCTTCCAATTCAGTCTTTTCCACGACAGTGTGCAGAACAATTACTAGAGCCTGCTCTGCTCCGTGTCCCTTGTTGCTCTTGCTTGCCTTTCATTCTCCTGCCTGCATCTTCCACACACTTGCCACTACCTGATCATCTTCACCACTTCCGCCAGTGTGGGCCCCGCCACTTACAATACCCGTCATTGTTCGTCTCAGCTCTCTGTATTTTTCGATATACCCACAATATCAACCGCACCACCCCTGCCTCTTTATTTCCCGCCAACACTTCTTTCTGTCCCCAACTCTCTCACTCCCTGCCACTACTACTGCTGCCCGAAAAACTGTTTTCCAATTCAGAAAAGGCATCAGAAAAGTAGGCAACCTTTTCTTCCAACTTAATGATATTTTTAAATTATATTTTGTACTCAAACTTTATCACAGGCAATGACACGACTGCTTCAAAAATTGTCGATAACTCTCCAACTCTCAAAGAAAGGAGAGGATTTATCTGATAATTTCCAAAGCACGAGTTTTCAGAGCCATCTTACCGGGTTCAATTGCCGGTGCCGGAACCAATTAAACTGTAAATAAAAGTCTGAACTTCTAACAGTTTCCAAACCACTGATGAGAAAGGTAAACACAATTTAATAGGAACATTATTTCCAACGAGAACAAATACCGCAGTTATTTTTTGAAGACATTCCACTGGCTGGGCCGCAAAACCAAACGCTAATATTATATTTTTCTACACATTGCAAAGAATAATTAACAACCTCCAAGGTAACAAAAATTGCACATCAATTAAAACACTCTGCTATAAACAGTGAAAACTCTCTGAGCTATTCACTCCAGCGACGGCACACTGGTAGTGGATGGTAGTTGAGGGGTAAAATCATCTACAACGAACATAGTGAGACTTTCAGTAATTCCTCAGTAGAACCTCGCTTCACGCCACGATTACCAGTTCATCTTAGTGGCGGGCAAACAGTTTAGGGGTACTTTTCCACCATGGTTGAGTCTCAGTCAATACCCCGCCACGCCCCGCCACGCCACGCGATAAACTTTTTGAGATACGCCGCTCTGATTGGGACATTTTGTATGTATATTTAAACCTTATTGGTTTTAATTTCACGAGTGAAATACTTAAAAGAATATATACTATGTATGAGTAAAATGATCTTCTGTAATATTAAACCAAGAAACTCATAGGGGTATATTTTATATTATTTGTGATGAAATTTCTGTGCAAAATAAGGTGCAAGATTATTTAAATAAAGAATACATGAATTAAATACGTTGTTCGTAACACATTGAAGATGGAGTGGAATGAAAAATGCGACACAGATCTTGCAGTTTTTCACATCTTCAAAATCGATATTGGATTTTCAATGCAAAAGTATCTTTCAAAACAAACATTACAATCACGTCACGTACAATTCAGCAAATGCAACTAATATAATAGAAACGTAGATTGTCCAAAATCACCATTAGACACGTTTTTTGAATTTGTAGAAATAGTTTATTCGCCATTTTGTAAACCTGTAAGTGCAAGGATTCACAACTCCTCCACTGAATTTTGAAAATATTTATTTTTTACTTGCACATACGTCGTCAAATGTGTAATTCCGACAAATAACCATACAAGGTTCTTACAATATTTCACAATTTTCAACTTATTATTACGTTTTTTTTATTTGTACAGTAGCATTTTCATGACCTCATCTAAAAGCTTAATCTCTCCTGTAGACGAGTGAACGTTTGTGAAAAATGCATGCATGTTGCCTTGTTTAATGGAATGGGGTGTCGCTTACAGAGCTAAGGGCTATAAAAGCAGTAACATTTGGAGAATTAGCTGGCTAACCAAAAAGGCAGAACGTTCGAGTCGTGAAATACGTAAATTACTGGAAATGTCAAGTATGTACGCGTAATAGATTCTCTCTCGTGAGTTTGGAAAAAGTGTTGATTCGTCGACATGACAACGTTAGTGGGTATGATGTTAGATGGTGAGCATACTCTTCCGAAGTGACTTCCGTAATTGAATGTTATGTATGTGATGAATTAACATTACACATGCGGCAAAGACATGTGTGGATTCCGTTAAGTTCAATAGCATGTAAGAAATTTATTGACAATTAAAATATTTACCAAGGATTTATATTCTTCAAACATCGTAATAAGCAACTGGCCACTTATCCAAGAATTAAGAACTTTGTTCAAAGAAAAGTCATTGTGGCTATTATTAATATCAACTTTTTTCATATATTATTATAATGAATCGTGTTAGGAAACCGAGGAATAATATTTTTTTTCATCATAAGTGCACGTTGTATGATCATACTGTGTAATCTTGAGAAATAAAAGGGTGTTATTCAATACCTGTTCACAACATATCAAAAAAGCAGAGAAAAAATATGTATGTGATCGTTGAATTGGAGTGTATCACACTCATTTCTCTTCCCTTCATTTCATTAAATATATATTTCGCAAAACGTTTTAAATATGTTTGGCAATATTTTACAAAAAGTTGCGTTTTTAAATTTTACATTTCATTTTCTCTTGTGTCTCTTCCATTGTCGACTCCACTTATTTCAGATATACGAAATAAACGCTTGGTTTGCTTTTCTGGGGGGAGAGGGCGGAGCCTTTTTTGAACTCGCCCTGGCAAAGCAGTTCCCAGGTTCGGAGCGGTCTGATGAATGAATGCCCTGTCAACCGGAAATGTGTTTCAGTACTACACCCAAGGACACGAAACGAGTTGTCAGGTGGAAAAGAGAGCTTCCAACTCATTCCAAACTAATCCGGCGTTCGCGACCAGTACGAACTTGCCAAAAGAGAGAAATTTCTTTTAAGAAACTTAAATGCTCTTGCAATAGCTGAACTACCGTGAAATTAAATCAGAGACGCCGACACACTTTCTTTTCAATTTCATGATTACCTATCAGACAATATGCCTACCAAATATTCAATATTGTTACTTTGAAAGTTTCCCGACGTATACATAAGCATTTTTTTAGATTACTGCACATGCAATTCTACCTAATTATCGAATGTAAGAAATCGGCCATTACCACCGTGCCCGTTAATGATGAGACATAAAGGAAAGTCTTACCCGTTATTTTTATTTTTCCCGATTAAAAATATTTCAAATTGCAACAATATTATTTTTTCTCCCAATACTACTCTGAAGGCTTTAAATAATATTACTGTTTCATATTTCTAACCTTTGGCCACCTTCAGTTAATTATCGCCTTTCCTGTGCCAACGATTAATACTTATTGTTGCAAATACGCATTGTTGTATAGTTGCAATACACGAGACGCTACAGCATTGATATTGTACAAGGGTTTTGAATTGTTCTAACAAAAAATAGATTTTATCGCTCAAAGCTCATTACACTTCACACTTAAATCACTTTTCACACGAAATTCACACTTATTCACTTCAACATTTTCACTTCCAAATAGTATGCAGAATAAATTCCGTGGTAATAGCAAATTCTCTTGTGGTAATCCATAATGTGAGATCGAAAGTAAACGTCCACAACAATCACAGTTGTAATATTTATTGTAACATATCCAATGTTAACTTTCGGGAAACACTTTTCACATCTTCACATTTTAACAGATCACGTTTTGTATAAAACTCCACTTTATATATACCTACCCCAAATCATTAATGCATAGACATATAGAAATGATACGAGTAATGAAATATGATGAAGTTTGACTCAGAACCACTAATAACTGACACAACTAATTCTTACAGAATTGTTGCGTCAAACATATTTTACAATTCTCCTTTACTTTCCTGATCTTTATTTCATTGTAACCCTACTTTAGATACTGATATTGCATAATTTTTAAATTTTGTGTGTACAGCTTATTCAATATAATTGTTTAATTCAGGTACCAGATAACGCGTAAAAGATGAAACCATAACACGTATTTAAATAATTAAACACATCATTAAAAATAATACTGATTTGTAGTAATCTACCATTGCAAGTGAAATGCAGATCTGTAAATCCTCTCCTTTATTGCAGTGCGGATGGGGAGTACGTGGTGACTACGATGACCAAAGCGGTACTGCATCACACGGGGAGGGTGCTGTGGACGCCGCCGGCGATCTTCAAATCATCGTGCGAAATCGACGTTCGCTACTTTCCGTTCGACCAACAGACATGCTTCATGAAATTCGGCTCCTGGACCTACGACGGTTATCAGGTAATACACTTTTTATCAATGTTACTATGTCTAAAATTACGGAATTGAAGTATCACAATTGTTTGTGATAGGCTTGAAGGCCATTCTGTACAACTTGAGTGACAGATTGGGCCATCCATAACGCCAGACATGAATTCCATCGAACATGCATGGAACATCATTGGAGTCATAATTGAGTCCATGCCATGTGTTGTTACACTTCTCCTAGCAAATAGAGACATGCCCTGCACGATATTAGGAGGTATCTCATGACCTTTGTCACCTCAGTGTATATCATCCGTTCGTAGGTTACAACAAATTTTGGGACACTCCCTCAAAAGCTATGCACCCTTCTTGCGCATCAGCACGCGTCTCCGTGTAGTGTGTATTTTTTAATTGTGCAGAAAGCCGCAAAAAGCCCTAGTCTTCGCGAAATTAAAAATTCCTTTGACGGAAAAACGCTAAGGACAAACCTGAAATAACAAAAAGACCATATATGATTTTCTCCCGAATAAATGAGGGATATTCTGTGGTAACTCAAAAAAAAGGATTACCATTATTATTTAAGTGTATGAATTTTATGTTAGCGAACAAAAAAGTAATTGTCTTCTATGAAGAAGTAGATATGTGAATCAATCTGAAAATGTCAACATTTTAGAGATATTTTAGAAATAAAATATGCAACTGAATCCCTTATTAAGATTAATGATATTCTTTGCATTATTTTTCAATTGTTACCATATGTCCTTATTCTAAAATCATCTAGCTAATTAATATTATGTAGTAGTTGTGTAAAAAAACTATTCTCTATGTGATAAAATTTCGCGTGTGTGCACGTATAATATCATGTTAAGAATATTATTCACCCAAAATCGATTCACTTACATTTACGAATTATTGAATTATTTTTGATTACAAATTGCAATACGAAACAAAGTTGCGCAGCGCAATCATCGAGTTGTTATTGAATCAAAATTAATTCAAAAATGCTATGTATATTAAATCTGAAACCTAATTAAAATACGATCATCCGCCCATATTCCTTATAACAACCAATTTGCTTTCCCGATTATACATGAGAGCAGGCAAAAAAATCTCATACTTGTTTTCTTTGTAAATTCCACAGGCTAACGACTACGCACGAAACCGTTCTAGCAACCAATTTTCTCTACAAAATAAGACATTTACGAAACAAGCTCTCAAAATACGCGCGACTAATATTAGCCTCATCTGGAAAACTGAAATTGGTAGAGCTGGTTATTTTGAGGGGGGCGGCGTTATTAAACTTATATACACCAAAATCCGCTCAAATTGGATATCTAGTTTAAAAGTTAAAATCAGCTGTGTATCGCGTAAGCTCGCTGCGGAAATTGGCAAGTTGCAAGCGCGGTTAGACACACGGGCGGGGCCAACGCACGTGGAAGGGGAGGCAGCCGCATCAATTTTTCACGCTTTGCCGCGGTCGTGACGGTGAAGGCTATCGAAGCATCGGTCCATGAGAGAACCAGGCGGCGGCGGGCAGTGGTGAAGATGGAAATGCAGAGGGTACGGGGCAGAGTTAGGTACATCTTTTCAACGAAAGGAAGAACGAAACATGCCAACATTCAACGAGCGGCTGTCAGAGGGGAAGAATAAACATAATAGCAAGGGTTTTAGCTGTTGAAAGAAAACTTTGTGAAATGATATATTTATAAGTTAACTTAAAAAGGAAACTAGTTATTGGGCAAGGGAAGAATTTAACCGACTAGATCGTTGCTTGATCAATTTAAAAGCATACAGTTTGCAGAAAGAAGTGAATTTATCAAAAGCTGATTGAAACCCTCAAACAATACAAAAATACAAGGGGGGTGAAGTGGGTTGTGGATGAAAATGTCAACGAAATGAGAATGGTTGTATGAAGACTCACCGAGAGCGATGGAATGTGTGAGACAACGGTTGGGGGGGGAGGGGGGCAGCGAGCGCAGAGCGCGTCTGGCGTAATTAAAGTTTTCCCCGACAGACAGCGCAGCGGTCTCCCGAGGGACGCCGCCATGCCGCCTCCGCGATGAGGCTACCGACGGCTGCCACCTGACACAGCGAAGTTTGTATTGATGAGCCGGTTAATATGATAACCCGAATCCCTCGTCTTCCCACCGCATCCCCCTCCCCACGTCCTCTACATCCTCTCCTCCCACCCACCCTCCACCCCTAACCCCGCTGCTTCAGCAAGGGCTATGCGGACGTCAATTGTTTCCGTCGACGTGCGGTGAAGGTTGGCCGTCCCCGCCCTCTATTGGCCCGTATTGTCCAACCTCTGCCAATAACCACGCGACCTATAACTGGGTTATACAGACCGGCTCTTGTAAGGGCTCCGATATTGTTCGTTATAAAAAAGCGGAGCTGAATTACGGGGACTCACGCCGTCCATAGAAGCGCCCATCCCGCCAGAGCTACCGTGCAACGGACAGCTCGGCGATTCACCCAGCTCTCGACAGTATACGCGAAATAATTACATTTTTAATCCCGCAGATGAGAATTTTTTTTCAGCCGCAGGAAATTTACGCGGCTAATATTAAAGAACATTCGGCGAGGAGTAATACGAAACTTTTATCAAGATACGTAATTTGAAACAAAAGTTGGATATGAAAGTGTTATACGAGTCGCAGTCGTTGGTTTATGGTCACTGGCCTAATGAAAAATAAAAGGAAATGGGTGGAAAAACCGATTCGCTTCATCTCTCTCTCTTTCAAAATAGTTACTGAATGGCAGTACGAGCAGGATAGCCACAGCATTTCCAAGTTTGACGAAAGAACTTGCGAGTATCTGCAATCATCTGCATGTGACGTCCTATCAGTTACTCGTAAACTGTAGACGTGTCTACGGTTGGGAGATCGCGAAACACCTCTATATAACAATATAAACAATATAATTAATACAAACAATGTAAATAATACGTCTTTTAATTCCTCCTAGATATTAGGTATTAAGAGTGACATATTACGAACTTTATATTTTCATGCGCGTGGATGTAGGCAATCACGGCATTAACAAAGGATCAAAAGTAAACCACAATAAACACATCAGAGCATTGATTTTCCCTCTTTGGATTTTTGAGAAAGTTAATACGAAGCGTACCTTAAGACACTTTAATGTCTCCCATTCATTATGTTGTCGGCATTAGTACGACCCTACCCATGACCACCGTACCCCGTCCCTGATCTTCACTACCCACTGTCAGCCTTAAAACGCAGACCTTTCTTTATTCACTCCACGCATGTCTCCCCCGTTTATCATCACCACCTCTTCATCCACTTCTCTTCACATTCGTCTTACCCGCTTTTCATCACTTGCTCTACATCGCCAAAGGCCGCCCCTACTCCTGGTAGCCTCTATCAGAGCCTCCTTGCTGAACCGTTCCGCACTCTAAGATGAGGGACGTGGTAAGCGGGTTTAGGGCGTTCGCCCCCTTCCACGCCCTATTCGCGCGCCGACCCACCCCTCCTCCGTCGCCGCTCTCGGCGCCAGCCTTCGTAATTGGGCCCCGCACAATTTCACCGCATCCCCGCCCCCGCCCTCGCCCCCCTCCAGCAATGGCCGCCATCTCTCGCATAAACTAGCCTTGTGAGAATTGCCTGACGGAATAACAGCGACGAGCGGCACGCGCCCTCGAGAGCCCGAAAACGCTCGGCGCTCGGCGAGTAGGACGGTCTTCTCCCCCGTCCCACCTTCCCCCACCACCCCTCTCCAGCGTCCCCCGCTTGCGGCCCCCGCCCGCAACCACGCCCACTTCCCCCGCCCCCGCCCGCGCCCGCCGCCGCCCGCGGAACAGCCTGCACCACTGTCCCATCCCTCTTCCCACCCCCGCCCCCGCCTTCGCCCTCGCCTCGCCAGCAGCGCCGGTTCCCGGTGGAGGGGGTGGATCGTTACGTATAATGGGCCGGATGACGTTCGCATTGTTTATTTATGCGAATTGCCGATGAAAGGCCTACTGAACTGTTCACAACCGAAAGGCCGGTAGGCTGTGGTTGGAATGTAGCAACTCAAAGCATGTTTTCTAGTAATTAGAATGAATAATGTACACGTAACGAATTTTGATAACGTATGCCTGTTTTTTTTACGTATCGTACCAGTTCATGGTTCGTTTCTCTTCTTTCCACTTATTTTCTCATCGTATTTAGGTAGTTGGCGTGGATGTATAGGAGGTCTCTATTCCTCTTAGCCTTTCAACATGTTCTAACACATATTCTGGCATGCGGTTAATCTTGTAATATCCTCCTTAAGAAAATTTGAGCAACTGAAGCAAGACAAAAGCTTTTTTCTTTGCAAATGATTATATTATAACCATCACAAAAATTAAAACTAACCAGACTGTTATAAAATGTGGTGCAATAGGACCGACATCTGGCGATTCAATTTCGTGGTTTTCGAGGCGTATAATTTCGTTTTGCTATTTTATTGAAGGGATGGTCGAGGTGACCATCCCTTCGGACTGAACCGCGTGTACCAACTCAGCGCTTCAGTCCGAAGAGTCGCGAGTTCGAGTCCCGCCTTGGGCACGGTTGTTTCTCCCTTGTCTTTCATGTGTGTTTGCGCAGACGTCCTCGAATTCTGCTGACCCCAGATCGGAGGACTGCAGGATGACTGATGAGCGAAGGCAGCAGAAGAAACACAAGACGAACGTATTCGGCCGGTTTCTTAATTACTCGTATCCGGTGAGAAGTTAGGGTGACCAAGACCAGCAGAGCACGACATTCATAATTCTCACTGCCTCACATATTTGTAACATTAATAAGTACAAACGATTGTCACTTTCTTAAAAGTACTTCACTTGACTCGTCACAAGAAGTATTTTTGAAAACTAGTTTTTCCAATAATATAACTGTTTTACGACAAACTGTCAATTTTAACTTCTCAAGATTTCTGATTATAATAACCTGAACGTACACTTCTTCTGCAATTATAAATTTTCGTATTAATAAAATGCAAATAACAACAGTACTGATATAATTGTAGGTCTATCTGTCGATACTAACTTCACAGAA